TTATAGAATGAATCTCTCTATACTTATATATAGAATATATAAAGGATATATAGACATCTATAGGATATTATATATGTATATGTATATTTATCTGTAATTACAGTTCTACAGAATCCAGTGCCTTCCTTTGGCCTCCACCAGCACTACACATACATGGCACACAGATATGCTTGGAGGCAAAACACCTTTACATATAAAATAAAAGCGAATCTTTAGAAAAAGTTTTTTCTATATATAAACATATACATATCATTTATGTATATATATCCTTTACATATTCTAATACATATGTAATATAAATATATTACATAATATAAATATATAAATGTATATGAAAATATATATCCTTTATATATACTAATATATGTTTGCACTGGCATCAAAGTGTAAGATCCAGTGTTTAAAGCCCATGCTGGTGAATTAAAGAAGGTAGCTATGTGCTTCAAACATATGTATGTATATATGTATATACATATATATATATATATATATAAAGAACAAATGTTTCCTTCTTCATGTCCTTTTTACAGGCTTCTAGCAGGTGTGGCCCAGATCAGATCTGGATTAAAGATCTGGATAAAAGGTGTACCTCAAAGATTAGAAAATCTTCCCACTTCAGAGTAAGCAGGAATCCCTCACAGGTGTGCTCTCAATTTTTAGCTTTTAGCACATTTTAGATGTAGTCAAGTTGACAAGAATGGCCATCACAAGAACTGACAGGCATCTAAATAGGACAAATGGTAGAATTCATTAACTCATTCATTCTGTCTATGGACTCAGGAGCTTCCACAGACCAACAGCAGTGTATTACATTCCTAGATGAAGGGATTTAGCAAGAGCAGGCCATCTCACACTTGAACCATCAGTGAAAGGCTTCCTACAGTATGCCAAGTGCTTCTTAAGGAAGCTCAATCTCGTATTTTATCATTTGCACTGGCATCAAAGCATAGGACCCAGTGTTTAAAGCCCATGCTGCTGAATTAAAGAAGGCAGTCATGTGCTTCACGCATGAATCTCAGAACTCCTGGCTTGAAGACTTCTGCCACCCATATGCCCTGGAAAGAAATAATAGGCGAGGGTGATGGTGTGTGGTTATCTCCCTGCCTCTAAGAGAACAATTCCTAAAGAGAACAGAAGAGCCTTGCCCCAAAGTGGTATAGGAGCACACACAGCTGGCCTCCAGTTAGTGCTTTAAAGCAGCTGATGGAAAGCAAACACCTTCAGGCTTCAGGGTGGGAAGGGTAGGGAAGAGAAGTGAAAGGAAGAGAAGAGATACCACAGTCACCTGCAGTTCAAGTCTTCATGGGACCATCAATTGTCACTTGGGCCATTTAAAAAAATATTTTCTAAAGATTCATTTTTATTTTATATGTAAAGGTGTTTTGCTTCCATGCATGTCTGTGTGCCATGTATGCGTGGCCAGAGGAGAGTATTGGAGTCTATGGAACTGTAGTTACAGATGGCTGTTAACTACAAAGTGGATGATGGGAACAGAACCTGGCTCCTCTGGAAGAGCAACATGAGCTTGTAACCACCGAGTCATCTCTCCAGCTTCCTCCACTATCATCATCATCATGTAATGGTTTAAGAAAAGGAAAGGCACTCCCATGAACTAAAGTTGTCCACAGAGCTCGGAAAGGTCTGAGGTAAAAAGCTCTGGGCCCAGAGTTCCTTATTGGTCATTTACACAGCATCTGCTTTCTCTGACATTTGGTGATCTTGACCCCTCCTGACCCCCATCCTGCACATGCTCTGTTTTGCTGCATGTAACCTGAGGTCAGAGGGGTTCCCAGCCTTCCTCTGTCTTTGGTTTCTTACATATTCTGACCTTGATGCCTCAGGAACTCCATTCTCTGCTGGGCCAATTTTGGTACATTTCTTTTTCATTCAATACCTTTAACTTTCTGTGTTCCATTTATAGCTTATGTTGCTACATCACTGTTGAGACTCAGTAATCAATGTGAGTGACATAAAACACTATACAAAGAGCTTATTCGAACTGAGTCCTGCTAGAAAAACTTCCCTAGGTTGGTATATTAGTCAGGGTTCTCTAGAGAAACAGAACTTATTAACTATCTATCTACCTACCTACCTACCTATCTATCTATTCATCTATATGGGATTTATTAGAATGGTTTACAGGCTGTGGTCCAGCTAGTCTAACAATGGCTGCCTATAAATGGAAGGTCCAAGAATCAAGAAGCTTCTTCAGCCCACTAGGCTGGATGTCTCAGCTGATCTTCAGTATATAGTGGAATCCCAAAGAAGGCTCTAATGCCAGTGAAAGAATGGACTTGACAGCAAGAGTGAGTGCAAGCAGTCAAAGAGCAAAAGCTTCCCCTTTCCTTGTCCTTCATATAGGCTGCCAGCAGGTGCAGCCCAGATTAAAGGTGTATATTTGCACCTCAAAAGATTTGGACTAAAGGTGTACCTTCATGCTCCAAAGATACAGATTAGAAGTGGGTCTTTGATAGGATTTAATTAAGAAAGAATCCCTTGCAGGTGTGCCCAGCCATTTGGGTTTTGGTTAACCTCAGATGTAGTCAAGTTGACGATCGAAATTTGCCACCAGAGTCGCCTTCTCCCTGTAGATACTTGTTCAGCATTGTCTTGTCCAGGTGGGGCAGGCTGCACCTGCAAGTGCCAGGCGAACTGCTGGATACTCACAAGCGGCAGAGCTTCGGGGGGGGGGTAGTATTCTTTCTCTCTCTCTCACACACACACATTTGGTGTGCTCACTAGTTTTATGGCAACTTGATACAAGCTATAGTCACCCGAGAAGAGGGAACCTCAACTGAGAGAATGCCTCATGTAGGCAAGCCTGTAGAGCATTTTCTTAACTGATGGAGGAGGGCCATGATTGTGGGTGGTACCAACCTTGGGCTGGTGGTCCCAGGGTTCTATAGGAAAGCAGGCTGAGCAAGCCATGTGAAGATAGCCAGCAAAGAACAGCTCTCCATGGCCTCCGCATCAGTTCCTGCCTCCAGGAACTGCCCTGTTTGAGTTCCCATTTTGGCTTCCCTCAATGAATGGGATTCAGGATTTGTAAGCCAAATAAACCATATCCTCTCCAAGTTGCTTTTGATTATAGTGTTTCATCACAGCAGTAGTAACCTTAACTATGACACTTCGTAAAATTGTAACCGTAAATTCCAAGATATTACAGTTGTTACATTTGATTTCCAATAAGTATCTGCACTTCCTCCTAAAACATCTCCCCATCAACAAATGCAGATACCCTCCCTTCCCCGTGTAAGTCACTGACAGAGTAGGTTGATCTGTGAATCCACACGGACACCCTGTTACATAGACATGTCCTCACTGGAAAGACCACTGTTGGGATAAGAAGGTAAGAATCTGTAAGCCCAGGCAGATTTTTAACATATATTTTTTTTTTATTAAATATGTAAAAAGATGAACGCAAGTCAAGTTATTCACATATTCAGAGACAAAAAAGCTATCCTACCATGCGACAATAGGTGGGTAATGAAAAATGACCATGATGCATCTGAATAAGACCTCTTTATCTATTATGCCATTACTTATCGATATTTATAATTAACAATACATATGTTTACATTCCTTTCAGTTTACATTTAATATATAACAAAAGCTTTATGGTGTACTATTTAGTAAAAGTAATCTGAATGCATATTAAACCTTAACGGAATAATGGAAACACTCACCAGGAAAGGGAGGAAATTTTGGTTCCCTTCTGGAGTTTACTTCTCTCAGCTCAACAGGATGTTTATCTTTTAAACATTTTTTTTTCCTGCTTCTCTACTCAGAATGAACATGAGCTTTCTTTTTGTCCCCTGCTTCGATCACTTCCAATCTGACAGTGGTAACAAAAATGCTATAACCGGCTTACAGTGGGTGTGGGAGACCGAGAAAAGAAATCAATTTCCTGAGAGGGATGGGCGGGGGGCACATGCCGAGAGGCCTCTGGACCCAATGTGCTATCCTGTGACTTGGGTGGGCCTTAGAGGAATGTGTGCCCTGACTGCCAAGACAGGAATGAATGTGTCCCCTCCTCCAGGAGTGGTGGGTGCCCAGCGGTAGGGTCTCCAGCTTGAGAACAACTTGGAAATAGCTGTGAAGGATTCTCCAACACATCCATAGCATCATCTGGGGCCTAAACTCCAGAAGATATTTAAGATGGGCACACAAAGAGGAGTGTGCTTTTCTCTAAATGGATAGGTGAGGGTCTGGCCCAAGCTCCAGGGAAGGAGAATGGTGTTTCAGCTGGAGAACATTCATTTCAGGCTAAGACATGTGGTCAGTAGGTCTTCAGCTAAGTAGTCCAGGAGGTGGAGAGGAACAGAGTGCCTCCAGCAAGAGGCACGGACGAGCTTTATGCAAGTTTAACAGCATCCCAGGCTTGGGAGAAGACAACAGCCTGGCTCCCTGGTACCCACTCACAGGAGTGTGGCCACGAATCATCTAGCCCTGGGCATCACTGAGACACCCTGGGCAGGTAGGCGAACCTCTCAGGTAGCTGTTTACTGTACCTCTTTACAATAGCTATTAAAGCCAAACCAAACCAACCAACCAACCAACCAACCAACCAACCAACCAACCAACCAACCAAACAAACAAACAAACAAAAAAAAAACAATGCAAAGGAATAAAACAAGGTCCAGAGAGCAACAAACCGTTAGGTCCGATGCCGTGTATAGCAGAGCTACTACCACAACCAGGCTGGGGAGGATGTCATTGCAAGGAGCAAGGTTTTCCAGCCTCAGAGAGATGAGCTGCCGCTGCAGGGCTAAGCGAGCAGGAGAGAGAAGAATGGGGAACCAATCACCATGGAACATCTGTCCACTTCTGCACAGTGTGTTGTGATCATCTCAAAAATACAAGCCATCTTTTCCACATAGACCTCAGTACATACAACTCTGCTGAAAAGGTTTATTTTGGAAAGCTTTCTCTTGGTGCAAAGCTCTGATGCTGGAATTTAAGGTTAGTACTCCGTCAATTAATAAAAGAAATTTCAAAGCTTTATGATGCATAATTCAGAAATTTATTTTGAGATTTTTTTTTTAAAGTGGAAAGTGGGGTGGGCACATTTGTTTCTTGTTTTTCTGCACTTGCTGGCCAAATGACCAGTGACAGTAAACGAAAAATCAAAATCAAATAAAACGAGGGAGCTAGGAAAGGGTACCATCTGTCCAAACGGGGAGGCGGGCAACGATCAGGAAAGACTAAGAAAATGTGCAAATAGTTAAAAACAAGGAATGCTTTCAATTCACTAACGTTTCCCCTTTATGAACTGCCACAGTTTAGCAAATGTCAATGAGAGGGAAGGCCCCGGTGCTGTGGGGGTAGGAGGGTAGGGGGGATGGCAGAGTCCTTACTCCAGAAGGTAATGGGGGGGGGTCACTGGTGTTCTGTGTAGAGCCACCCTTCTCCCGAGAGATCATGCCACCCATCAAGTCTTCACCTCCAACCTCGCAGCCGGCACCAACACGATGCAGATGGTGGCATGCGGGGCACACAGCCTCCAGTTACCCCCTAGTATGGATTCCCCTAACGTGAACTGCAAGACTTGGGCTGAAGCTCTTGCAAGGAGGAAGAGGGATGAGGCGGGAAGCCTCCTGCTTTCTGAGACCACCTCCCCCCACCCCAACTTTTGCAACTGCAGATTGCCGTGAGAACATCTTGTAGGGAGTGGACCTCCACCGAAGAGGGCCCTGAGAAAGAAAATAACACGAGAACCTGGGGATGGAGAGGGGGCAGGGACTCACAGAGCGAGGGCGGAGCTGAGATGCTGCTGTCTGTGAGTGAACGCCTGGAAACTAACAACTGCATGGTTGTCTAATGCGCTGCTCTATCAACACTGCTGGGCCCTGAAGTCCTAGTTTTGAATCCATTTTTCTTTTTTCCCTTTAGTGTTGTGAGTAGAGGGAGGAATTGTTTTCCCCATGACACAAGCTACTGTCATATGGCTTTCATATCAAGTATCTGCTTCCCTTTGTTCCAATTAATCATCTGACCAAATTTATGATAGGAGGTTAGACTTGCAAACATCAAAGCACCACAAATGCATGTGATATCTAGTGACACTGGGTTGAAAAATGCCAATATAAATACCATATATCAAATTACCATTGTTTCACACCAGGATAAAAAGGGGTGGTGGTGGTGATGGTGGTGGTGTTGGGGTGGGAAAGAGTTGTTCTGGAAAGGAATGAGGGAAGGGTAGAACCAATCTCAAGCAGCCAGGTGGTGGAGTTGAAGGTATGTGACCCTATGATCTGGCAGGTGGGTGACCAGAATGGCCGTCTGCTAATGCATCTTGGCAAAAGAAGTGGGAACCCAGTGCAATGGCTGGCGGATGCAATATCACTGTCGATGGCAACAGGGTGGGAACAGCTGGTTTCTACTGGGCTCCAGGCCACACACATTCCAATCCTCCAGAAGGAAAGTCCCCACACGCGATGGAAGTGTCAAGAGCTGCTGAGGCGGTTCAGTACTCGTCTTGCTGCTGGGGCTGCTGGTCATGGGCTTGCTCCTCTGCTTCTGGCTCTTCGGTTTGGCCCTCCTGTGAGGTAGGGGAGAAGTTTTAGCTGAACTGATCTACTCTCAGGCCCTGTGAGGTGTCAGGCCTAGCCACCACGAAGCACCTGAACACCTAACACCAGGCACAACTCAACACGCAAATGTACAGGGACACTTCACATCCCTTTGTGCCATCCAGGAGGGGCCACGCTACGAAGCACAAGCATCGGGTGTTAGGGACTCTTCTTACACTCTTCACAGGACGCACTGTACTCATTCCTACCCTCAGAGTCGATACGTCAGACACCGGCACTCCACAGCTTTATAACCACCAAGAAGCCTCAAACAAGACCCCAGGCCTCTGCAGATGTGTAGGGCGGTTGTCCCTCCTTAACAGCCCACGATGCATTGCTTCTGACCTACTTCCTGTGCCCTCTAATGCTGCCACTCTTCATGTCTGGTAGTGCCTGCCTGAAGCAGATCCTTCCAATTGCCCAATGGCAAGATGAGACAGACTTAAGGCACCAGAGAAGCAACCTGTCAGTTTCTGAGGGGGAGAGGTGACAGCACATGTCATGGGCAAAGAGGCCCCTTTCAGCACTGTGCTCAGACGCTCTGGCTCCAGGGCCTTGCCACACATCTTCAGGGCGTGTGAGGCCCTATCTGCTTACCCTCTGCTTGCTTACTGGGAAGCAGATTGGGTCAGTGTCTTTTCACGTGGCTCCACGTGTCCTATTTACCCAGTGAAGCGGATCACAGGCAGCGTTTCAATCTCGGCTGCAAATCCTTCTCTAAATTTTAAAAAGAGATTCATTTTATTTATACGAGTGCCCCATCTGCATGTGCACCTGCCCAACAGAAGAGGGCATCAGATCCCAGTGCAGATGGTTGAGAGCCGCCATGTGGAACCGTACTCTGGGCTTCTGAAGAGCGGGACTGTGCTCTTAACCGCGGATCATTGTGCATGACAAACTGATAGTGGCTAACTGCCCTTAGGAATGGCACAGTCTGGCATGTACGCTGGCACATTCGGACATGTGACATACTGACTCGGCATCTGGCAAGCACACACTCTCCCTACCTGGCCCTATTTCCTGCAGCCCGAGGCAAGCCTGTCAAGATCCAGTTTAGACAGGACTTCCCCATCTCCCTGAGTCAGACCTGCCTGCATCTTCCCGCTCCCCTCTGCCTTGCGGTTGGAGGTCTGTGGTAGAGTGAGAGCTTGCAGTCACAAGGTGTGTTACCTAGCATTGCAAAAGCGAAAACAAAAACAAAACAAATCATCTCCCTCAACTCCCCAACAAAACTCACTGGGGAGTCTTTATTGTCCGGAGACTTTTCTATTGGCGTTCTGGAGAGGGGTAGCCTTCTTCAATTGAACCACATCTCATTCACTGCAGCAGTCAACAGAAACCACAACAAGAGGAAGAAACTGGAGTCCAGAACCGATGACCAAGACAGACTACCGGCCAAGGCCAAATGGCGTTTTCTCAGAGACCATATAACGTTAAGGTTGTGGGCACTGACTGTTCTCGGCCCAGCTCTGCCACTGCTAGCTGTGAGTCTCTGGGCTTACTGTGCAACTGCTGAGCTCAAGTTTTCTCAGCTGTAAAATGTGGGGCAACGAGGATACTCACCGATCAATTCAACAATGCATTCATTTCATCTAACAGAGGAACCCGTTAGTTAAAACTGGTAACAGGCCTAGCTGCACGGTTTTCACAGTCGATACGGTAAATGTGAGCACTGATTACAATTTCTTAGTTGGGAGGAATGTGTTTCAAATGTGCAAACAATTAATGGAAAATTACCTTTTCTACAGCGACCCGAAGCGCAAAGTGGTATCCAACTGAAGGCCCGAGACCGATTCTAGCACTTGCCCTTACTGGCTCTGGGTCAATGGCCACATAATTCAGTAAATGTGAGCTCCAATTATGCCTATGACCACACTGTTGTCATCTCCTAGATTTGTCCCATCTTTGGAAGGTGAAAACAAATATCACACTCTCTCTTCTGTTCTTCTGATCCTCATGGTACACTCCCGGCCCCTATGACTGCACTTTCGGCAGCATCTTCTGCCAACCACTTTCCATGTGCGGTAGTAGCCCTCTCAGCTTAAGGAGTTAGGGCCTTGGCAGACAGTGGCACTGTCAGGGCGAACTGGCAGTGCAGATGGCCACAGGCCAGGAAGCCCTGGTCAAAGCAGGTAGTCTCTGCTCTAGGGGAACACAGGAGGGCCCAGCTTCCGTTTCCTCACATCAAAACATCCCCCTGGAAGCCTCTGTCCCTACCACTACTCCTAAATGACTGGCTCTTCTGGCTCAGCACCCATCCTTCATTCTCCCTTCTGTGTGTATTCTACCAGGTAACTACCTGGCCTCCTCTGCAGCCAGGCCCTAGCCCCCCTCCCCAATTCTGGGGATGTTGGCTTACTCCTGCAACGTCCTCAGTCTGCCGCTCTGTCTTTCATACTGTACCTCAGCTGCTCGAAGCTTTCCTAGCATCATTGTTCTGTGTGTGGCCTTGGACAGGTGTGCTTTGCCTTTCACAGAGACTCTCATCATCACCGGGAGTTAACTATGGAATAACAGAGTTAGTCCTGGCCTGAAAGTGGGAGGACAGAGCCAGGACCAAGCTGAAAGTCCTGATTCCTCACCGTTAGTCAATGCCCCTCTCCTCGGGGCCAGGCCAAACAAAGAGGTGGCTCTGCAGTCTCTAGCTAGTAAAGGCTAAAGTGCCAGCCATGGAAAACTGCTGGTGATGGCACATACCGAAACAAGACTGCCAATCTCCAGGACATACTTATTGGGCAATACTGGTATAAACAGCAAACATGCCCACTTAGCTGCTTTGCTAATGCTTGGGCACAAGTTGACTCAGGACTTTACAATGCCACCAGAGGCTCCCCAGAGGTGGCTAGGCAAAACCTATGCCGAACACAGGACTGATATACTGGAGTCTACCCAGATGAATACTAATGTTTCTATGGCAACCCACTGCTCTTCTCTAAATGCTCAGCTGTGAGTGATGTTACTATTCTTTACTTTTACTTTATCTATCAGAAAGAGAGACAGGTTGGGAGACAAGATTAAAGAAGGATCCTGACCATGGTGTCTGGTAAAGCTCACCAGGAGCTGATGGTTCTGCTCCCTAAATGGAAGACACTTAGCCTCATCCTGGATTCGGTGCCAGCTACAGTCAGCTGCTCTTTTCTCTCCCATCTTGGCTCTGTAATTGCTGATGTACCCTGTCACAGTTCAACTTCTAACACAAAGGCCATCTTTACAGTGACATCTGCTGGGTTCTCGAGGCTATGTGTGCCACATGAAAGTTATTTATGTCCCTGGTGCCACATCTATCACAATGTGCCACATTTTCCAGTCAGCTGAGTCTCCTTAGGTCTGTGAGTTCTGAGCTAGCAGCTGTGCCTACCTGGATACCTAGCATTTCAAGTCCAGTGGCATGCACAGATTTCCCAGCAACAGAAACCCAGACTGTCTCTAAAAAGCACTAAGGAGAAAGAAAGTCTTCAGTTAATTTAACAGTGGCTTCTCTATCAGTCAGTACCTTGGGAAATGAGCAACTCTTTATTAGCTGGTGTACCTATGCTGACAGGATCCACAAGGTCAGTCAGCAATTAGGCCAAGACACCTGTGGCCCAATGACACATGAAGGGAAAACATAACGAGAATGATAAAGAGGCACTGTAGACCTGGCTAGCAATCTGTTCTGGAAGCTTCCACTGGGATGCTACAGTTCAAAACTGAATAACCTGCCGACAGCAGTGCTCTTTGCTGGCCTTTACACCTTCTAAACATCACATTCTGGGATTGCCTGACTCTAAGAATCAGAGACCAGCAAAGGAAAGGCATCCCCAGCAAATACTCCTCCTGGAAAATCAAGCCATGTTCATACAGTTGAGTGGAAGAGCACACTTGACAATCCAGCCTTCGATTCCTCAGCCCATCTTCCATCTCCAGGAAAGCCAGACACCTTAGCTACCCTCAGGTGGTTACACAGCCTCATGTTGAGAGCCTCAACACAAAATACAAACGTTTCTCCTGAACTCCATACTCATCAGACTAACACAGGAACGCAGACCCAGCCACCACCCACGTGTAGGAATGGCCTGAAAACAGGACACAGCATCAAGGGCAAAGGTGTGAGTGTACAACAACAAGGAGGCCACTGAGCACGCATTTCCAGAGGGATGCCCTTCAAGAGCAGTCGCCAGTTTCTTAGACCCACCCCTCTCCACTGCTGGCTGTGCTTCGGGGAGGCTGCCCCAGAGGCAGGACCCACGGTCCTCAGAGAGGAAGACAGACGACTCCTTGAGACTCCCACAGGGAAGCAGAACAGAGAATGGGCCTGCTGCTCCACAGCCGCCACTGCACAGAGCTGTGTGTGTTGTGTGTGCATGTGTGTATGCCTGCATGCACTCAGGCACATGTGCCAGCTTGGCACACACCCATCCGGCATGGTGTCTGTACAATGACAAACACCTACCTTTTCTTACTGCAGAAACGAGGTCGAGAAACCTTGGTCTTAGGTCTTCTCACACTCAATGCAAGGACTCCCGGTACACTGTGGGTCAAATGAGAGTCTCCAGGGGAATCTCAATGCAGCCTGATATTTTCCAGACACAGAGCTGCAGTGTAAGGCATCCTGAGCTGGAGACAATGAGCCAGGGCCGCATGTGAGGACACTATGCGACAACACACGGCTAAAGTCTAGTCCCTTCTGGGTAATCCTTGGGCCCTCTGACTCTCTGCCCGGCTGTGGGACAGGTAAGTGGGTAAGCCCATGTCTCTCTTCCTTTACACATTTCTCTTTACTTGATGATTATCCAAGGGCTAAGGTGCTGCTCAGTGGTAGAGCATGCACAAGACTGAGACCAACCACCCCACAAAAAAGCCCTACCCACACACCCCTCAGAGAAGGGAGAGAGAGCCTGGGCTCAGGATTCAGACTCTAGCTGCTTTCAATGTACTGAAGCTCTTTTCAGCCTCAGTTTCCCTTTATCTGTAAAACAGGACAATATGTACTTGGTTATATTCTCAAGAGAACTGAAGGACCTACTGAAGCTATCCACAAAGTACAAAGGCCCAGGGTCAGTCCCAGGCTCCAGGGATCTGAGAAAGGGTCTAAGGAACCCATCTGGCCTAACTCACTGATGGAGCTTCATGCACAGTGTGCGTGGGTACCAGCTCTGTAACCATGCCCGCAGTACAAGAACGTGCACTAGGGTGTGTGTGTGGGGGGACTGGAATGGCAGAATGACGCTGAGTATAGACACCCAGGCAAGGACTCTCAACTCACACCCTGGAGGACACTAAAGTGTTTGCCTCAGGCTCACCTGCCAGGAACCCAGTGGTGTCATGCAATTCACCAGGCCATACTCCAGCACCACGTCTCCTCCTGGAACCAGTTCTGCCTCTGAAGCAGGTTCCCTTCCTGCCATGGAGGCACTGATGGGAAGATCCAAGCATGTGTGCTGGCCTTGCTCCTGCTAGCACCCACCAGCCCAGATGGCAGCCCCAGACACTCAGCCTCCCAGGGCGTGACGTGCTTGTCTGATGTCATCTCAAGCAAGCTTCTGAGGCAGGCACCGTAATGAGGTGTGCCTGCCAGGCCACACTGCATACATCCACAATGGTCCCAGGCATGCTACAGGCCAGCCTCCATGCTGAGAGCCATACTCTGTGACACCATCATGGCCTCAGGGACTTAACTAGGCAGACCCCCAAGGTTTCAAAATCCACACTTTGTGCTACTAGTAATTAAGAAGGAAGTTGAAAAAAGAAAAAAAAAAAAGAGAGAGAGAGAGAAATGAAAGCAATGGTGGACACAATTCCCTGTAGCCAACGAAATTTCAATGCTAGGATTTTAAGCTGTATGTGGAGCAAACATCTGCCTTTGGCTAGAACAAGACAAAATAAACTTTCTGGTGGCTCTCTGTCTCTGTGAAAACACTAACACCCATGGCTCCCCCACAGCTCCACAGCTTCCTCTGAGCACCCACAGGCCTCCAGGTCAGAGAGGCAACGGCTTCCCCAGCTCTGACCTGGGCTGAGGAGAATCTTCATGCCCAGCCCTGGCCTCCTGCTTCCCCTAGGCCAGCTCTGCAGAAGGGGAAGCTCCAGAAGGTCTCTCACTTCTTCCTAGGGCCAGGCTTTGCCCTTCTGACACACACAGTCAGCACTGACTCTGAAAGGTCTCTGCAGTTTTTCCTGTCTGTCAACTGTTTGTCCATAACGTCCTTCCCTCCCCAAGAACATAATTTCCCCTCTCCTCCATTCCTCTCTGCTTCCCTTCTTTCTTTTTCCTCCTTTCCCCTTTCTTCTCTTTTCCTTTTGTTGTTGTGTTGTTTTGTTTTGAGACAGCGCTTCACTATGTAGCTCTGGCTGGCTTGAAACTTGCTATGTAGCCAAGGCTGGCCTCGAATTCACTGAGATCCACTCTCCTCAGCTTTCCAAGTGCTAAGGGTTCTGGGATTAAAGGCAAGTACCACCAAGCCTGGCTTCCCCCCCCCTTTTTTTTTTCTTTAATAAAACAAAAACAAAAACAAAATCAAAAAAGCAAACAGGGTTTCATGTAGCCCAGGATAGACTTGGATTCCCTGTGTATTTTGATACTCCTGCCTCCACCTCCCAAATGCTAGGATGGCAGATGTACTCCACCATTCCCAGCACATCTTTTCACTGCCTTCACAAAGCCACACCCTGGGTCTTCCCCTGCATACTTGCTCAGTAGCAGGTCCTCCCTCCAAAAAAAGGTCTGTCCCACAGTCTGGTCTGTCCTGGCAATGAGTAACCAAGGCAACCAGCTATGTAGTAAAAATAGACGGCTGTGGCATTCACAGGGATGGGAAACGTGTTTCCTCACTTAACCATTCTCAAAAAAAGAGATCTTCATACAACCCTTACTGTCCATTTGCACAGAGCTCTCGGCCTCTCGGCTGTGTGTTCAAGTCCCCACCTCTCCCTTGCTCCTCCCAAGTTAACTTGCGGATGCACATCCCACATCATGGCAGCATAGAGCTTGCTGACAAACGTACTTATTTCTCTGGGACATCAAGGCTGCTAGCTGAGTTGTGACCTCCTCAAGACTCCGGGGAAGTATTTAGGATGCATGGATGCACTACACTTTGGACGAGAGAGTTCTTTTCAGACCTCGGGAGCCAGGGGCTCCGCATACCCACCTGTTCGTCGGAAGCGTAGAGTACTTCCATTAGTCGCTGCACAAGGTCATCGTTTTCCTGCCCATGTTCTTGGCACAGCAGCTCAATCTCTCTCAACTTCCCAAAGTAGAAATCCCTCTCCTTCTCCACACCTTCGAGAGCCAGTTTCAATGAATGTACCTGCAGAAGAGTGGGGCAGAGAAGAAAGCCCTCAAGGAGAGTAAGAAACAAGTAACCGGCTACGTCTCCATACAACAATGGAAATCACGTGGAGCCAGACTCCAAAATTAATGGAAGCATGACTCTAAGGGGGAAGCAGCAGGCTTGCAGGCCGGTCTCAGGAGCATGCTGAACATTCGCTACTGGTGAGTCTTTATTAGGCGGTCAGGGTCTCCACGCATCTGCACAGCTAACCCTGGGCTTCGTCAAGCCTCCTTCTTTTGGTAATGTGGGCTGAACCACAGCTTGTTTCTGTGATCCTGGGTGTCTGTGACTCTCCCAAGTCTTATGCTACAATCCTACCTACAACGTGATGGTGTCAGGGGGCAGAGCCTCTAGGTGAATGAGATTTGTGTATGAAAGAAGCCTAAGGGATCCTTCCATGTTCCCAGCATGAGAAGACCATGAGGAACTCATCCTGGCTAAGCTACTGATCTGCTGACACCTTGATAATGGACCTCACAGCCTCCAATAGTAAGAAGTAAAATTCTGTTGTTCACAAGCTACCCAGCTTCGCGTATTTTGTTACAACTTCCCAAACAGGCTCAAAACGTGCACTCATAATACACCGAGAAGGGAGGTAAAAGAGTTAAGGTTGTTTGTTTGTTGTTAGATTTATTTATTTATTATGTATGTGATTTGAGAGCTTATGGAGCTTAAGCCCAGCCACAAGGAGAGGTAGGCCATGAGGGACTTCGGACAACTAAAGGACTGGAGGTTTCCCTGTGGTCAGAATTTGGGTCACTGGGTTGGAAACTCTGGTGGGTGGGAGTGGGGATTGACAATGCTGACGCCAATGAGAGGAGACTCGAGCACAAGTTGCTAATGATCCTGTGTCTGAACTTAGCCATAGAATCCCTCCCAGCTCTGCACTGAATCGGGCAGAAGGACCACAGCCTGTAGCTTTCCCAGACTAAGCAGGGGCATTGAATTAGTTCCTTCCACAGATGCAGCTTCAGGGAGGGTTTATTGTGACCTGCCAGTCAGGGGTCAGAAGGTAACATGGCACAGATGGCATGGCACAGGGCATGGTTTGTGGTGCCAGAAGCCAGTAGGAGCTAGCAGTAGCTGTTTGTTACATGGTGCTGGCCAGGAAGTAGCAATCCAGCTCAAGTGGGTTTGAGCTATACCCTTCAAGGCCTACCATGTTTGGCACCCCACTTCTTTCAGCTAGGCCTCGACTCCTGGTTTCCACAACCTCCCTTAAAAGTACAGCCAGCTGGGAACCAAGTGTTAAAACACAGGATGGGGGATGGGGATGGTATTCACATTCAAATCACAGCGGACACAGTCAACCTACAAAACCCAGGTTCTGCCTCTGGACAGTGGTTTACACAGCACACTGAGGCTTTTGTGGAAAACTCACATCTGAGCTGGGGCAGACTGGCATTCCTGATATATTAGAGGAGTATGGACCTGTCACAGTCCATACATGGGCATGGTGTTGCAAACCTGTGAGTCTGGTACTCAAGAGACTGAGGCAGGTGAATTGTTCTGAGTTCAAAATCTGTTTTTGCTACAAAGAAAAAAAAATGTCTTGGCAGTAGCTACTTTAAATGATTAAAGATCGGCTGGCAAATTCAATTCCATTTTAATGGTGCCACTAAGAGACAAATGCCAGCTACCTTCCTCACAGGTCACAGCAAATGCCTAAGTGATGGGGCTGAGAAAAGTCTCATTCAAAGGCCCCATAGGGGCAGTTTCCTTTCACAACTTTCCAAAGTGTTCCCAGAAGTGTCCACAGACTATGGGTCCTCCCAGAGGCCCTGTTGCAGCAGTGACTCCAATCCACTTCCTGTTGGCTAACTCACTGTCCACAGAGTCCCTAACCATTTCGTCCTCCCTTCGCTTCTGATTCACTGCAATCACTGGAGTTGTGGAGCGAAGCGTACCTCTGCGGTCTATCACGGGGGACTGCCAGAATAAAGGAACGGGGCCAAGTCAATGAAAATTCCGTACGTTTACGGCAGTTGTCACGTTCTCTGTTACCCACATAATTCATGGTTCTGTCTCTGCATTTCCACGTGGCTTGTCTTTTGTTCCTGTGTTCTCAGTTCCAACACTGGGACACTCATGTGGCCACCCGCTAGCCTCAGGGCTGACCTGAAGGCTTCAAGGGCAGGCACCCAGACTCAGGTCCAGCAGGGAAATGAACTTGGATTGAAAGCTTTTAAGTATCTGCCCAGTTTAGGTTGTGCCTCACCTGCTCTCTGAAGGACAGAGAGGAGGCAGGTATGTCCCTCTCGATGTTAAGGTGTTGGGGAGCAGGCCTCTCTCAGAAGTACTTGAGGAAGGACAAAACTATTCCCTCTCCTGCCCCTTCCGCTCTCAATGGAGTGGCAGTAACGATTGACAAGGCCTTTAGGAACTAGACTCTCTGTGTGATCTCTGAGCGCTTATGGAGCTTAGGCCCAGCCCCAAGCAGAGGAAGGGGCTGACAACTAAAGGACCGGAGGTTTCCCTGTGGTCAGAATTCATCACTGGGTCACTGGGTTGGAAACTCTGGTAGGTGGGAGTGGGAGATGATGACAACGCCGACACCGATGACAGCTAATGGTAGCAGAGCTGCTTCGGGGAAGGGCACAGATCCTGAGTATAAAGAACTCAGGCCTGATTTTCACCAGGCCCACTCAGCCCTGCGAGGAGTCTGAAGCTGCTGGCCCGAGGCTCATCACTGCTCATTTTTATCTGAGCAGAAGTCATTACTGAATACCTTCTGGCCTCCAACAGGTAACCGGAAAATTCCACGGTTACCCAATTAAAATCCAAAGATGGCTTAAGATTCTACCTGAAGCACCAATGTGGCCAACTTGCAGCACCCTCCGTTAGGCAGCCGTCTGCCTCTGTACTGGATTCCTCACTGAAAACGCACAATATCTAGTCTCTTGCTGCATCAAGCAGAACATTAATTACTAGGACAGACTCAGCTAATAGTTGGGAACAGCCTAAGCATCTGTAGTCAAAGGATCCTTCACAAAACCAGGGCCCTGGTACAGGAAGCAGGTGGCTTCTGCAGCGTGTGCCACACTGACCTGAGTTTTATAATCCTTAAGCTGTGTTACTGTAGGCCAAATTAGGTATTATAAGTCAGAAAACATACCTATGCTTTTGGATCAAACCCAGGGCCTCCTGTTTGGCAGATCTGTGTTATCCTGCAAAGCCTCAGCCCACCCCTGTACCTGAAGTTTCACATTGGAAATGTCACTTGGTATAGCTAGGTCTACCACAATCAGGAGGAGCTATCATGAAAGGAATTTATATTTCAAGTGCAGCTGCTACTTTTCAGGGCTCCCGGGCACCCTTCTTCTGCCGCTGTAGAGGACTGGTGTTTTGTTGAGTTTTAGTACTAAGTTCTGGTGTGCAACTGCTGTCAGTAGCTTTGAGTGCGGAGACTGTGTCACCCACCCAGCTATCGCCCACACTGCCATCAGAATTAGGCACAGCGCCCGTCACATAAAACAGGCTCAACCACTAGCTGCTGAGAGAAAGGGAGGGATGGAGAGAGAGCCAGCTGAACTCTAACACAGCCATAACACTTTGTATTATGGCCAGGAGTGGGCAGGCTAGGCCTGGAGTTCAGGATGGGCACGAGGAAGGAGGAGCTGGGCGGTGGCCTCCGACAGGCTGTGTCCTCTTCCACATCCTCACGCCTGGCATCAAGCTTTGTGACTAACCCTGTTTGCCACCAGCCACTGAGTTTCCTTTCTTGAGTGAGCAGGCCCTCCTGCTCTCGCTGGCTCTGTCTCATCTTCTCTCCCTTACCCCAGGCCTTCGGGTGTGACCTCCTCACCCCTCACTCACATCATTGTTCCCACAGACAAGGGTGGGGCCCGTGAGATACCTGCTCGTTGAGCTGTATGACCTGCGTTTCTAAATCTTTGTCAGATCTAGACGCTGAGCCGCTGGATGAAGCCCTTTTGGCAGACGAGGGGCGAGAAGGTGTGGATCCCGGCTTGGCTGCTGGACTTGATTTAGCCGCGCCTAGAAGCGAGCACAATGCATTCTGAGTACAGTGGATGTTAAAGAAGAGTTTCGGATATGGTGCAAACTCATGATATAAAATGAGCTTCCTAAAACCCACAAGCAATGTGCCAGCCCCTCCTCAATAGAGGCAGAACGAGCTCTGGCAAAAGGCACTGCATCAAGCTGCTGCAGCACCCCGGGGGAGAATGCATTGAACCTCTGGAGTTCAGGTGCTCCTCAAAAGAGGCTGTTAACCCTTTTGCTCCAGGCCTAAGACCACAGCTATGGTGAACCCTAATAAGAGGAAAGACTCCAGGGGCTGGGGAGACGGTGCTTACTGTCCAAGCCTGAGGAGCTGAGTTTGAAGCCCGAGAGCCCCTGTGAGTCCAGATGTGACAACCAGGGCTCCCACTGTGAGGTGGGAGGTGGTGACAGGCTCACTCCGAGACAAACACCAAGAGCCGTGTCCTAAGCAATACTGGAGGTGAGGACCAACACCCCAAGTTGTACTCTGTCCTCTACCTGTGGTGCGTGCATGCCTGTGCCCATACACATGAACATGTAAACACATATCACATATACATGAATGATTGAAAAATAAATAAACGACAGGAAACGTTCTTCAGCAATCACAAATTATTACCGTATGTGTTTCTAAGAGCAAAGACCCCATGGCAGGCTCATATTTTAGAAGAAACACTGCCACACAGGTGTGTGCTTTCTCTTTTGGTTCATACACTCTGTAGCTTCAAGTAATGGAGAGAACATGGGAAGTGGCATCTTTGTGGTAATGTGCACCCTGAGGCCCAGCCTTGCTCTCTAAAGGTCACTCTTCAACAAAGGGGCTTCTTGGTGTAGAACTGGAGAGGTGAGCCCGGGAAAGCTTGTGGCAAGGAGCAAAGCCACACTCAAGGCAAGGGGCACAAGGACCAGCTTGGAGGTGGGCAGTCGGCCTAACGTGAGGAAGAGTGGTGTAACTTATGAAATGTCTTTGGCACATGAAGTCCACGATGAGGGGAGGGGGAAGAGGGTGCAATGGGCTGTAACCTGACGGTCAGGGAATGCTCAGGAAACGCCAGGAGAAACCCAGATATGTGGTACCCCTAGGAAAGAGTAACCCCCCAAATTGTTCCTTAATGGGTGCTGAGCCATCAGATGGGAGGTCTGACATGCAAAGGGAGAATATCGTCCTGGTTGGGAGTCACAGCGTTTCGAATAATGGCGCCCTGTTATTTCAGGTAAGCCTTTACCCACTTGGCACTCAACCTGCAGTGGACTTACTGCCTAGAACACAGCACAGACATGGGAACGTCTTCCTGAGCCAAAACAGAAGCAACCAGGCATATACAGAGAAGTCTGTGTGCTTCAGAAGGAACTGGCCCAGTCCTGGGCCCCACCCCTTTCCTTTCGTTTTGAACACAGTCCCAGACTGGCAACAGTTCTGGTTTCCCTGTCTACATGTACCTCCTGTGTGTTCCCTCCACCCAGTTAAAATTTCCACCACAATCTCTCATCCTCTCCCCTTCCAGAAGGTTCTTAGAGGGCAAGGAACATGTCTTACTCATGTCAGCAATCCTGGTGCCTCGTAAAATGTTAGGCTAACTACATTTGGTGAAGGAACGACTTTAGATAAATAGATAAACAGGCAATTAAAAACTTGGTTATGTGGTTTCCAACTTCAGCTTCCAGTCTTTCTGACAGAGGCAGGGGATTATAAAGGCAGGCAAGTAACAGCAGCTGCAAGTCTCAACCAACACCCTAATTACAATGTGGCCAACAGGAAGGCTGTAAAATTTATATGGGGTGTCTTCAGGTGTCTGGAGTCATCGGTTACACATGGGAGCCACACACTCCTCTGAGAAGTCTTGCCAGTGTCATGGCCTTTAAAAAACATGCCCTTTTGTTACAACAGGGGGGGAAAATCTTCTCTACAAGCACAGGGAAAGGGCCGACAGACTTGAAATGATTATGTGTGAATGACTTAAACTGGCCTGTGTTCTGAAAAGTACAATCAACGAGGCCCAGAAACCTCACCTATGCACAGACCGAAAGGGGACCAGGGAGCGGTGTTTAGCTTGGGATGGGCAGACTGATGCAGGAACCTTCCTCTCTGGACAAGCCCACACCGAGCGCACAGATTCTTCAGCAGTAGAACGGACTACGGAGGAGCGGGCAGGGAATACAAGGCCCCTTTTTGGACAGCCACCAGCCTAGTAGCAGGGAAGACCACTTTTGCAACAATCAAGCCCTTTGAGGGTTTTTTTTTTTTTTTTAAGACAAGATTGACATTTTGATAGAAGTCTAATGGAAAAAGCACAAAAAGCAGCACTTCTTATTTAAAACCCATATTAAGTATCCACCACAGGGGCTGCTAGAATGATAAAGACACAGTCTCTCCCGGACTGACAGTCACCTAAGACTCTGCAGACATGGCACCCTCCTGGCCTTCTTGGGAATGGGCCAGTGTTCTGGGATGCCATGCCTGTCAAACCTGGGCTGTATATCCTCTGCATGCAGCACTCTCTCCTCTCCCCTCTGGCCAAATCGTCTCCTTTGAGTAACTAGGCCTTCCATCCTTCAGGTCAGCTTGTGCTGCTGCTTCCCCTTCAAGGGCACGGTGCCTTGAATGTAGACACTGTAGCAGCTACACCAGTGTGGTGACACCTGGATGCCTCTTCTTATACTGGACATGGCTCCAGGATGCTGGAGCTGCATCTGTTTTGTTTGCCACTGATAAGTATAGCATCTGACCTGCATGCCTTCTGAGTAATGCCAGAAGTCACTGAACACCCAGCAGAGGCAGCGAATCAGCCATGGCAGCCAGGGGGCTTTGAGGCACTGATGTCAATGTCAAAGTCACTGGTTGGAAGAGGCAACAATGAAAGAAGCCACATGGGTGTCAGCCTCCCAGTTGGGCCCTTCCTGTATCTCCTTCGTACGTTATGATATGGGCCTCCTTCCATGTGGTATTTGGTCAATCCACTGCTGGATTGACCAGTGAGGCGATGTCTGAACAGATTAAGAGCCAGGTGGTTAGTGCAGGGCTACCCACATCTCTGCCACTGGCCTCTGCCCACAGAAAGGCCCTTCTAGGAGGGTGCATAGATACTCCGCACTCCATGCAGGTCATCGGAAGATGTGGCCGGTGACGGTGACCAAACTCAGGTCACCAGGAAGCCACAGCTTCACATTTTGACATCAGTTCAAAACCAAAAGACATGGAAGAGGCAGGCTGCTCAAGCTTGTCAACGCAGAGCTGCCACTAATCCTGATTGCAGGGTATTATCAAATGCAACCTGAAACAAATTGAACTTTAGATAAAGAGGAGGGCCACGACAAGCCAATCCGTGTGGGACAGAGGCTGGGGTGACATGTTTTCCATGGCTCTTGAGAGAGGTCAGAGCTGGTGACAGGGTAGCTATGGCCTCGCAGCCTCTGAGCAGAACTGTCTTTTCCTTGAGGAGACCCACCCTCGCTGTGGCCAGAGCTCAGCAGAACCTCTCTGTGGGTTTGGCTCTCCAAGCCCATGGCCTCAGCCTTAAAATAGCACTGCTTTCTTGGATCCCGTAAAGGTCAGCTGGGACCCCGGGAACCCCTCTTTCATGCTGCCCTACATGAGTATCCATCAGGGATCTCCAAGATGAGAACAAGGAAGGCTTGAGAATCAGGTGTGGGGTTGTCAGCTGCTCCGCCACCTACACACAACTCACACACATTCTCTCTCTCTCACACACACACACTCTTTCTCACACACACATACTCTTTCTCTCTCTCACACACACTCTCACATACACACATACTCTTACACACACTCACAGACACACACATACTCTCACACACAGTCACTCACTAACATACATACTCATGCATACACACTCATTCATACACTGACACACACACACATACACACACGGAAGGGAGGAAGCACAGCTCCCACACGGAGCACAAGGAGTAGAACACACATTTGAAAAACCCAGTAATGGATCGAAAGTACTTTGCATTTGCTATCTCAAGTGCGGGAGGTTTTGCAATTCTGGAGAGAAACCGATGACAAATGAGTCACACCGTGCTGCGACTGACAGGGACAGACAGACTTACCCTCCCATAACTCACACACCCAGAGAGGCACGGCGCGGAAAGGAAGTAGAAGTACAACCTCCGGCTTCCGCACGCCCTTTTCAGAGTGCGTACACTAGGCAGTCTCTTCCAGCTCTGCCCACCCTTCTCAGCTCAGAATGGTTTCTGTTTATTAGTCATATCTTTACTTTTCTTTTTTCCTTTTCCTTCAAACAACCACATCTAAAGCATATATAGCTTCTGGGGCCAGGTTTTTTTTTTTTCTCCTCATTTACTGGGACCAACCATCCTAAGGATGTTATCAAGAAAACACAGCTGTCAATATCTGTAAAGTTAGTGTTGCTACAATACATTTATGTAAACTACTGTTTCTTTTCTCATCTTCTCAAGTGACCCAGTACTGTCACATGTGCGTCCAGTCCTGGCGTGGGAGACTAAGGACCTCGACGGCTGCCTCCCTTGCAGCTCAAAGGCTCAACCCCATGAGTGACTCTGCTGTTCTGCCATCTCAGGTCCCGAGTTTCAAGGGTGCACACATGGAACACATTGGAATCGCGACTTTTAAAGGCTGTGCAGTCACTCTGGCTGCCATTCAGATACAGAGTTGTTTCCTTACAGCTATCAAACACTTCAATTTCTTTCAAGCTGCAGTGGATGATGTCCTGAGACCGTAATTAGTGGTAGCCCTGTTTTGTACGCAATTGTTCTGCCCTTAAGCTTTTCTCCTCCCCCTTAATTTTCCCTTTCAAAATAAAAGGGGGTTTAGAAGCACAGGAAAATGGACATAAACTATGCCCAAGTCCCTGTAATTCTCAAAAAATCTCCACTGGAGATGAACATGATTCACAATGCCTGTCTTTGAGCAGCCCTGTCTTAATTAATGCTTTTAAGGATTTGGGGCATAAATATGATTCTAAGATATTTTAACCACAGTGGTGAAA